AACCTTTTACTTGACTTTAAAAATCCATTATTTTCCGTGTGGCTTAATCCGCTACAGCAGTCACTTTCTCGGCTCATTAGACATGCATTCGACGCTTGGAAGCCGTTAGGGCGACTCCCAGATTTTGTCTAATTGCTTGGCGCCAGATTGCCCCGCTCTTCTGCCCCTCGATCCGCCAAGCGATCCTCCAACCGATCCACCGATTTGCCGCACAATTAATCATGTGCCGGTGGCACATTGTTTTGGACTGGCAAGATCTGTTTGCGTTACCTTTTAAATCGATGCGATGCAGAGGGACTCCCCGCTGCCCGCTTTTGGGTCCATAATTACACACTTGTTAGTCTGAGCCACAAATCAAGGGCGAAATAAAATAAAGTAAAATAGAATAGATGAACGGGCAACGCCTCCTGTTTTTCCCCCTAAGATTTATATGCATTTCGTGGCAGGCCACTTAATCAACTCCGCTATTCTTTTCCTCCTTGCAGACGCATGTTCCCCTCGATGCGAGTGTCCCTCAGCGGCCTGGAGGAGGAGGCCAGCTACTGCGTGCTCCTCGAGATGGTGCCCATCGGCGACTGCCGCTACAAGTTCTCCGGATCCCAGTGGGTTCCGGCCGGAGGAGCCGAGCCCCAGAGCCCGCAGCGCATGTATCTGCATCCGGATAGTCCGGCCACCGGTGCCCATTGGCAGTCGCAGGCCCTGCTCTTCAACAAGGTCAAACTGACCAACAATACGCTGGACAGCAGCGGACATGTAAGTTTGAAAGTCCCCTTAGAAACCCTTAAATATGTTACTTACTTATTATTTTCCCTATAGATCGTTTTGGCCAGCATGCATAAGTACCAGCCTCGCCTGCACATCATCCGCAGCAGCGAGCTCACCCAACTTCCCTGGGCTCCGCAGCAGGCATTCGTTTTCCCGGAGACGGAGTTCGTAGCTGTCACGGCCTATCAGGTGGGTTAAAAACAACATCAAGTCCTCTCCATTCAGGATCTCTGGCGGGACAAAGGCTCCGCGGGGGTCGTCGGCTAATTGAAGCATTTCCAAATTTGTCGCCTTGTCAGACACTTGAGATGATCCTAACTAGGATCGCAGGGGAACTTTTCAAGTACCTCCCAGCCGACGGCTACTTACTGACGCCTCGTAGATCAAATTTCTGTCAGACAGAGAAAATACAGATCGTTTTTCACTTTTAAGAAGCAAATAATTACAAGTTAGATTTTAAACTTCCGGTTAAAATTTTAAAAATAAAGATAATCTCAATAATAGTAATATAAATCGAGATAAACACCAAAAAAGGATATAAAACATCTCTAATTTTAAACCTATGATCCTTTATTAACTTTTAAATTTTGTTCTTGCAGAACGATCGCATTACCAAACTGAAGATCGACAACAATCCCTTCGCCAAGGGTTTCCGTGAGTCCGGTCAGTCGCGCTGCAAGAGGAAGATGAACAGCAGCGGAAACTCCAGTCTGGAGTCGGAGGACGATGGCTCCAGTGTGAGCAGCTGTGACTCTCCGCAGGCGAAGCGTCAACGCCAGGACTTTGAGCAGGACTCAACGGGCAGCGTGTCACCGGCCTACTACGGAGCACAACATCTCAGTTCCAACCCAATGTCGCCGTATCTCCGCCATCCCTTGGGCTATGCACCCAGTGGAGCTCCCTTTGCGGCTGCCTACTTTGGTGCAGTTCCTCCGCAGGTTCTGCCAATGCCAAGCCCAGCCACCTATGTGCCAACTCCAGCTCTAGTTAGTCCGCAACCAGTTGGCTCCAGCACACCCACCACCTCACCACGACCTTCGACCTCCACCAAGAGAAATAGCTTCAGCATTTCAGCCATTCTGGCCTACTGAAAACTACTTCTATCATAAATTACCTACCCAAATTGGAGTCATCTTCTGTTGTGATTAGTGAGAAACGTGTGCATATACTTTGTAAGCTACTGTATTCTACCTATAAGATCGTTTAAGAACCCAGCTGCAATCATATACCTTGTTAATTCGTTTTAAGTGTCTTTGGAATGAACAGAATAAACAAATCAAACATCGAATCTGTGGCAAATGCAAAACTATTCGTAGGGGGTTACTGGTTACCTTCAGCGTTTCCGTTTTTACAGGTTTGGCGATATCGCTTTGGTGCCTTGGCCAAAAGCTGTTTGCGACCGCTTTGGCGGGCCTAAGACAAATTAATGCTCTCCATTATGGTGACCAGCCGATTCTCAAGCCACAGCAGCCACACGTATCTGAAACACATCCAACTCCGGTAGTAGTTAAAGCAATTCTTGAAAGATAAGGCGTCCATTATGAGCAGCGATTTGACGGCTTTCAGGCCGTTTGGTCTTTGCCGACCCAACTCCCCGGCGATTTCATCCCCATCCCCCAAGTGAGGAGATGACGCAGAGGTGGCTACACTACAGAAAATTAATCACAAATAGTGTATGATCCATTTTATACCGTTTACAGTCAATCGAAGTATAGAGTTTTTACCTTGAGTAGCTGAAATTATTCATGAACACTTAGATTTTTTAAAATATTATGTTGAAATATTAATTTTCCGCGAATTCTTTAGCAGTATTTGAAGAAGAGATGCGAGAAAGAAAGAAAAAAACAATTTGTGAATAATTGTAGAATATTATTATGGTATAATAATAACAAAGTCACATTCTTTTTTTTATATATATCCAAATGTAACAAAATCTTTAAGAAAAACACCATAAATAATGTAAAAACTTAAATTTAAATACCCGGAACTAGAACTAAGTCTTGCTTAGGAGGAACTGAGTTGGACTATTTTATAAAAACTTATTTTATAAATTTGCCCTGTCTTACAGAATAGCATAAGGATTCCCCATTTCCAAGTATCAACATTAACCTCTCTGAAAAGAGAGTAAATAAGATGATTCGATATTTGGAGTATGCAATGATTTTTTAGAAAATGTCTCTCCATTCGTTATAAGTTTTGTAAACTCCAAGCTTAATATATAAATTAGGAATTAAAAATTATTATTAAAACAAAATACACTTTTTGTTCAGTGCATTTGCTGCTGCTGCCGTCTTGTGAAATTTTCGTTTTATCGCACCTTTTATGGCCATTGGCCAGGCCAAAACGAAGTGGGAGCTGGCCAAGAAGCCGATTTCGAGTCGAGTCGGATGGAGAAGGAGGCGGGGATGGACAGACTTTGGTGTGGTCACTCCTTGTGTGCATTATCGTGTCAAATGCGACAAATCTGTCTGTGGGCCGGCGGCTGCCTTTCAGCTTGCATAATTGAGCTGATAACTCGGCGCTCCGTGGATGTGTGCGGTCCACTTTTGAGCGCTTCCTAAACGGTGGCGCCAAACATTTCGTGTTTAATATTTTTAATTAAGTTTTTAAGTGCACCCAGAAGATGGACCCCGAAGAATTTCTAGCCAGACGACGATGACGACCCACTCTCCCCGAAAGCGGATAGTTCAAAGGCCCATCGAATGATCGAAGTTCCATTCATAGAAACCTTTGCATAGATTATGCATAATGTTATCCGAGGCAGCGCGAAATAATTCACCCGCCACACGAAGCCGCTTCTTTGACTAATTTGGGCTTAGTTTTGTATTAGCGCTTTGTGTTTCTCCTCGTCGTCGATTGGATTTGCAGGCGCATAAATTTACATCCCAAATGTTGAAACAATTAAATTATGGGATTTGCACGTTTTCACCAAAAACAAAGGGGGCCAAAAAACATAAAAATAAAAACTTGTCGGCGTCTGCGCTTCAGAAGTGTTTTTTAAATGCTAGCTTTATTTTTGCTGATTCGCGGCTGGCTTCTCTTCGAAAAAACGGTGGCAAAAAGCGTCAAAATTCGTAGATTATGAGATAAAAATGGAAATTTCAGTCGCTCACGTATTGCATTTCTAATTTGCGCTTGTTTTAATATACTTAATGAATTTTTATGTGTAGGTTGGTCCATACCCATACCCATGTCCGAATCCGGTTTGCGGTCAAAGCTGTTGATAATGATAATGAGGATAACGATGCTTTATTGAGAAGGTGTTGCCGTTCGGATCTGAATTTTATTTGCGCCACATGTTAGCGTGTTGTTGTTGCCGCTTTTGTTGTTCTTTATTGCTAATTATAATATATTTGATTTGGTATTTAAGCTTTAAGCTATAAAAATGTTGTCGTTCTCTGTTTTACGAGCCAAACGCCAGCAAATATTCAATTAAATTGTGCGAACGAGAACAGGTCGAGGTGGGTTGTGAATAGTTATTGTATTTAACACACCTTTTTTATTTTATAATATTTTAAGTATGGCTTTAACCCTGCACTAAAATTCAGGACCCTTTTTTATTATTGGAAAGTTTGGCTGTCAACTTAAAGACAATAAAAAGCACAAAAACTTCAATTTTTTAAATGATTTAATTTGCTTATTTTTTTAAATATTTTCTTGGGCAAAGAATATTTGAAACCCTGGCTTATTTTTATGTAAACGTTTTAATTAATATTAAAGTTCTAAAGTAAATTATTTTTAAGGCATCGGCATTTTTTGTTTTTAAAAATCGTATCATAATTATAAGTCTTATACTCAGCTCAGCTTATATACATGTATTTTACACTGGTTTTTATCTTTACCTTACACTACACCAATTGACCCACTTTTTACATACATTTTACACACATACTCATGTATCTTACGTTGGTTTAAAACTTTGCCAAGCGATTACACTGTGCAACGAAGTTGTAAAGTTAAAATTATACTGGGAAAGAAGAAACTATATTACAGTGCTCTTAAAATATTAAATAAATATTTCAGTAACTTAAGATATAGTAAGTGAACTTATTTTACAAAGGTATTTATTTTTGTTTTAATTTAGGAAATATATGTATAATGGATTGGGTCAGTGCTATTCTACTCTAAAATACATGTAAAATCAAAGTCTTCTACCTGCTGACTATATTTTAGTAGTATACTTAGGATATATTTATGATTTCCGTTAGTACATTTACTGCAGGCCTTTGGTAAAATGTCAATTTCAGCCTAGGGTCACCCGGCTTTCATTCATTCGATTTTGAACACTCCAAAAATGCTGTTAAATTTTAAAACCCGGCTTGAACTCCGATTGTTGGGTCACTGTACGCAGCTAGCTATCAATCGCCAGCGATATGCCAGCAAAAGTGGCGGTAAGGTCGACAAGGAGGTGCTGGCCCAACTGGAGGAGGGCTTCAAGAAGCTTTCCGAGTCCAAGTCCAAGTCGCTGCTGAAGAAGCATCTGACGAAGGAGATCTTCGAGAAGCTGAAGACGCAGACAACGCCCTCATTTAACTCCACCCTGATGCACTGCGTCAGCTCGGGTCTGTGCAATCATGACTCCGGCGTGGGTCTATATGCCCCCGATCCGGAGGCATATAAGGTATTTGCCGATCTCTTCGATCCCGTCATCGAGGAATACCACAAGTGCTTCAAGAAGACTGACAAGCAGCCGGAGACCAAGTTCGGCAAGGGCAAGGACTTTGAGAACCTGGATCCCGACGGCCACTTCATCGTTTCCACTCGGGTTCGCTGCGGAAGAGCCGTCAAGGGATTCCCCTTCAATCCCTGCCTAACGGAGCAGGACTACCAGGAACTGGAGAGCAAGATCTGTGGGGCAGTGACGAGCCTTACCGGTGAATACAAGGGAAACTATATGCCATTGACTGGGATGGATAAATGTGTCCAAGACAAGCTGATCGCGGATCACTTTCTTTTCAAGGAAGGCGATCGGTTTCTGGCAGCCGCTGGCGCCTCTCGATTTTGGCCCACCGGACGTGGCATCTTCCTAAACGAGGCCAAGAACTTCCTGGTCTGGTGCAACGAGGAGGACCACATACGCATCATCTCGATGGAGAAGGGTGGCGATCTGGGCAAGGTCTACGATCGCATGGTCGGCGGCGTGGAGGCGCTCGGCAAGCAGCTCCAGTTCAACCGAGATGAGCGCCTGGGCTACCTGACATTCTGTCCCACCAACTTGGGCACCTCAATTCGCGCCTCGGTCCACATAAGGCTGCCCAATCTCATGTGCCAGCCGGAGGAGATGAAGAAGCTGGCCGAGAAGTACCGTCTGCAGATACGCGGCACATCTGGCGAGCATTCGGAGGCCAAGGACGGGGTGCACGATATATCCAACCAGCGACGGATGGGACTCACCGAATACGAGATTATCAAGGAGATGCACAACGGTATTAAGGGCCTCATAGAAGCCGAATGTATGGCAAAGTCATCAAATTAGTTGAACAATTTGGAATGAACTTAAAGCTGTGACTAAAACCGGAACTACAAAATCAGAAAGTCATTTTAAGGACCTACTATAAATTTAAGTGCTAAAATTCTAATTTTACAGATTCAAAATAAATAAAGCTCAAAGACCAAATATCAAGAAAAAATTCATTAACTTGAGGCATCCTAAACAGGTTTTTTATGGATATTATCTAAACTTATTGGGACATTTGATTAAATTTGACTCCTTTATATCTACCTAATGCATTCAAGACAATACCTTCGCTGAGTTTTTATTTTTTTTTATTATTTTTTAATAATTTTAATTCTTTTATAAACTTAAGACTTAAAATAAAAGTATTTAAAGTTCCTTTTTTTGTTTTTGCTTGACACAGATGTCAAAATGTTTTACATTGTTTGGTTGTAATTAAGCAAATGTTTTTTCTCAAATAGTTATCCGTTGTTGCTGCTGCTGTGGGTGTTGTTGTTGGTGGTGTTGCAAGATGGCTGTTGGAAATCGCTGCCTGCGACCGCAACCCTCAAAGTATACGAAAATGCCGAAGGTCGCCGGGTCGCTGGGACAGCAGTAGCTCCAGACCATCGCTACAAACTAGACTTTTTTGTTGCAGCCCGAACCGCCCAAAAGCGACAAGGCGGACGAGCCGAAGATTTCTAAGTGTTGTTGTTGATTGTTGCGTGTGCCCCGAAATGATGGTTCCTCCAGTGGATAGATGTCAGCTCCTTCGGATGCCTCACCAAAACGGGGGGACGATGCTCGGCGGTTGGCGGGCAATTTACAGGCTCTTCTCGAGCTTGATCAGCTCGGTGATGCCATCGTACATCTCCTTGACGGCCTCGAACTCGGTGAGACCCATGCGACGCTTGTTGGAGATGTCGTAGACACCGCCCTCGGCCTCGGTGTGCTCGCCGCGGGTGCCGCGCACCTGCAGGTTGTACTTGGCGGCGACCTCCTCCAGCTTGGCCTTGTTGGAGGCCAGCTTGGGGACCTTAATGTGCACGGAGGCACGGATGGTGGTTCCCAAATTGGTGGGGCAGAAGGTCAGGAAGCCGAGACGATCGTCGTGGCTGAAGGGCACACGCTTCTCGATCTCGTTGACGGCCGTGACCAGACGCTTGTAGATCTGGCCCAGATCACCGCCCTGCTGCATGGAGATGATGCGGAGATGGTCCTCCTCGTTGCACCAGACCAGGAAGGTCTTGGCATCGTTGTGGTAGATGCCGCGGCCGCTGGGCCAGAAGCGGCAGGCGTTGGCGGCCTGCAGGAAGCGATCGCCCTCCTTGAACAGGAAGTGATCGTCGATCAGCTGCTGCTGGACGGCCTTCTCCATGCCGGTCAGGGGGTAGAACTTGCCCTTAAGCTCGCCCTCGAGTCCGGACAGGGTGCTGCTGACCTTGCCCTCCATCTCCTTGTACTGGGCCTCGGTCAAGCAGGGGTTGAAGGGGTAGCCCTGCATGGAGCGACCGCAACGCACGCGAGTGGAGATCACGTACTCGTTGGTGGGGTCAACGTTGCCGAAGGTGGACACATCGCCGAAAGTGGAGGCCGGGTGCTTGTCGGTCTTCTTGAAGCCACCATGGTAGTCCTCGATGATGGGGTCGAACAGGTCGGCGAACACTGTGTACGACTCGGCATCGGGGGCGTAGATGCCCACGCCGGAGTCGTGGTTCTCCAAACCGGACTGGATCACATCCAGCAGGGTCGACTTGAAGGTGGGCGTCACCTTGTTCTTCAGGTTGTCGAAGACCTCCTTGGTCAGGTACTTCTTCAACAGCGACTTCGAGTCGGAGGCGGCCAACTTGGCGTAACCCTCCTCCAGTTTAGCGAGAACAGCGGCGTCAACCATGGTGTCTTGTTTGCTGCAAAAGGGAACAAAAAGAGAGAGCGAGGGGTTGACCATTAGTAAAAGGGCGTGGCTGGGGGTACAGTTCAAAGTTTTATTGCTAAGTTCATGGCTATCTCCTCCGTTTTGTGGCGCCCTAAAGTCGGCAACATGTTTTCTCGTTTCTGTTTTCTGTTTTCCTCAATTCCGGCCTGTTTGCCCCGCAATTAGTTTCGGGTTATGGCCATGTGCTCATACCAGGGACTTTCCTTTGGCACGCGACTGCCACATAGCCACCCATAACCCATCACCCCCTCTTCTTTCAGTGGTGGTGGCTTTTGGTGGTGGCTGACTGACTATAAATTTTTGCCGGCTGCCGCTGAATACGCAAATCGACGGCACACTATACACCCATTGCCTTCTGCCTTTCCCCCCCTTTCCCCGCAGGACATGCGCACTACAACAACATGGCGCCGCAGCCGAGGTCCTGGACAAAACACGAAAGCACACAGGACCAGGACCAGGGCAATAATAATTTTTTTATGGCACTATTTTTGGGCGCTTTGCAGACAGAGAGCTCACGCACTTACACACATGACGTCAGTGGATCCCCCGAACCCCGTGAAAATACAGGATATACAGACAACTCCTGTCTAGGAGTCGTAGGCCAAACTAAAAGACCCGGAACCCCGGGATACACACCCATCTCCTCCAGCTCCAGCCGCCGTGGCGGTGCCATTGGGCTCGCCGTTGGCCACCTCGCCCTCGATCACCTTCTCCTTCTTGTCCTTGGAGGCGCAGAGACCCATTTTATTTGATTTTTTTTGTAGATTGTTGGTGTAAAGTTTTCAAAAAACGTTTAAAAATTTGGCGTTGGCTTGGTCACAAAGTCGGTGTTTGTTTTTTTTTGTATATAAAAAAGAACCAATCTTCGTTTGTTTGGTTGCGTTTGCAGGTAAAATGAAATCACAATGCAGCTTTAGCTCCTCAAGGATCTCGGATCTCTCTATTTTTCAAGGCGATCCCGCTTTAAACACACGCACACACTCCTTTTTCCCAGACACACAGACACACGACGCTTGGCTTAACGCTATTGCTTTTGATTTTCGGTGATTGGATTGGATTGATTTTATATTTTAGTTTCGCTTGGTGGTCTTCTTCGTTGGTATCAAAATGTCGGACGCAACAATGTTGTATATTTCTTGATTTATCCTTATAGAGAGCCTCCTCTGCGACTCCTTTTCGGTTTTCTTTTTGCTGCTGCCGCGCCCAAATGTATACTACACTAAACAAACACTATGCGATGCTATTTTTGGGGGAGCAAAGGACTTGCTGACTGCTGCTCGGCTGGCTGACTACTGTTTCTGCCCTGCTCTCCAGGATATTTTAGCGCGCGCCTTTCGAGTCGTCGGCAAAGGACGAACTTCGGCAAATCGAATGGAACTGAGAGCCGCCGCCGTCGCACCCAAGGGAAAGCATTCTATCGCCGGTACTTTACCGCATTCAGCGCTCAGCTAGGAGAGTTTTAACCGGAGTGGAGTTACGAAGAGTGCTCTCAATCGAAGTGCTAGTATATTTGCCGAATATTTCTGGGGGAGGTTAGGGGGTTGAAGCAGCATTGCCTACCCGCAGGCGCCGGCCCAAACTGTTGCCGGATGAGCGGCAACATAATGCGGAAGGATATATTTACACGATGCGCTGGACCCACCACCAACCACCCATTAAAACCCCTCCTCTTTTCCAAATCAATAAAGTTTATAGCACGCGACTGGCAGCTGGGAATTGTTGAGCCTCCAGCCCGGGCGGTCAAGTCAACTTCAAGTGTCGGGCTGGAGTGTGAAATGTGCTCTGGTAATGACACGAATCGGGGGTATCCCTCCCCCTTGAGTGTGTAAAAAATCAATTACTCGGCAAATGGAAAATGGAAATCAAAGGCAGCTTGCAGGATTCCCAGGACAGGAGCAAGGACACGGGCACTTGAGGCTTGTGAATTAAACCATTGAACTTGAGTGCAACGGGGAACTGGTTCCAGTTTCTCATCGTCGAACGAACACTCATTGCATGTCTAATGCCCATTAAGTTGCGAAAATATAAATTGCATTTACTATCTTTTGCTTTGTTTTGTTTTGGCTAATTTCATCTGCAGCTTCAATTACTCAGCGGAGGGCACTGCAGTCGTCGCGAAATGAGTAATCGCAGCCGATCACTTACTTTTCCAGCCATTTTCTGGCTTCGCCTTTGTAAATATTGATTGCGAATTGAAAACAATTTGCCATTTTAACTGCAAGTGTTTATATTGATTCGCTGTGGAAATTTCTACACCATTTGGGAGTCATATGAGCCGTGCCACCACTCCACATGAGTAATCTGGAGCTTGTTAATGCCTCATAAAGATAGTGAGCTTTGCGAATTGCAATGTACCCAGCGAAGGGGGCGTTGGTTGGCAACTTCTCGGTTTTAAGTGGCTCCGAATCATGCCAGATAATAGTAATGACTTATTGGCCTGTCTGGAAGGCGTTGAAACTAATCAATTAACTCAAGTGCCGCCCTGATGGACAAATACTGGTTAGAAACTGGAGCGCACACAAACATGAAGGCACTGGAGGAGGAGGAAAAAACCCTGCTTGCCAGGCACTTAAAAGCCAGGCACAAATCAAATTAAGCTGACGCACAATTGGAAAAACCTGATTTCATTATGTAACCCTCATCTTGATGAGCAGCGGACAGACGGGGGATTCTTTTTTTTTCTTTAGGGGGTGAGACAGGATCAGCCGAGCAGCTCTAGCATTTTCAGGGGGTGTTTCTAATCACACACGCGTTGTATTTATCAGATTTCGGCTATTTAGAGCCTTCGCTTTATAACAATATCACGCACGGATTTTTTGCAACCGTCAAGGCTTGGCAACAATTCGCGAATGGCTGGAGAAAATCAGCGACTGCGAGTAGGCATACACCTGCCGCAAAAAAACTGGAGCTGGAGAAAGAGAGCTGGTGAGAGTCCCGGAGAGAAATGAATATATATATATTGGCCAGGAGAGCTAACCAGATAAGCAGCTCGCACTTGATAAGCTCTAAACTTCAAATCGTAAACCGTCTCGGCTGTCAGCGATGATCATCAGTCCAAAAAAGGAGGCATCGTGATAAGATAGCCCAGTCCGGGATTTGAGCAAGT